TTTGAGATATATTTGCATGACGGAAAACAGCAGAATGTGAAAAAAGAACAATTTTGGTATCAATTTGCTTACTTTTCTTTCCTTGCAATGCATAAAAAGTCAATATTAAGGCTGCCAATCAATTCTAATTACATGATATTTCAATGAACTAACATATATCAATATTTGCTCAAACAAATCAATCAATAAATCAATCAATCAATCAAAACGACTACTAAAACTGAGATACCTATAAATAGTTTATATTTAGTAATATTTTACATCATATCTGCTGTTGCATTAATCATTAAACATTTTGAGCAATTAAATACAATTGCTCAAAATGTTGTCTGTTTGCGATGACGTACAGTATGTTCAAATATTTTATGAAGAAGTTTAGCAAATGATGTGCAACAGATTTAGCATTTACCTGTTGCGTCTTGCTTAAATATTCTCATTTGCATATTTTTAATGAACTGGCAGCTTCAACACATAATATACTCATTCTACTCAAAGCTGCGACCCGAAATCGCATGTTTTTTCACAACCTAGGAGTCTGTTGTAAAATATATATTATATCTGATCTTCTGACGAGGCATGAAAAAGTCTGAAATGCAGATCATGAGCATAAACACACAATAACACAAGAAAACACACAGACTCCGACATACATGTACACACATGTCTACAAGCTTGAGGTTTTTCCATTATGAGTCATTGTCACTATGGCAACAGGCTATAAACTCTTTTCCTGTCTTCATTAAAATCTGATTATGAATGAAATTAAATCCCACACATACACACACAGAGACATACACGCGCGCGCACACACACACACACACACACACACCTAATAATGCTATACTTCAACAGACAGGCAACACTTCACTCTATTGTATCCGTCTTTAATTTCAAAACTGTTCCCACCAACTCGTGTGAACAGACAAGGCTTAGCAAGTGTGTGTGTGTGTGTGTATGTGTGTGTGTGTGTGTGTGTGTATGTGTGTGTGTCTTGTGAGCTGAGAGGACTGGGGTTAAGCGTCCACTCCGCAGACAAAAGCCAAACTCTCTACAGCACTGTGACCTAGGAAACGCTGAGCTTGGTAAACACACACACGCAGACACACACACACACACACACACACACACACACACTCTGAGATGGCAAACAGTTTGGCTTGTCTAGCGTTTGGTGTTGTGGATTAAGCAAGAAAACCACTATGATTTTTCACCCCGAAAACTCGTGGCACATTTCTCAAGAAAACCACATCGTCAAAGCCATATTTAAAACCAGCTAAGCGTGTGTGAACCCAAAGCCACTGCTAACAGACATGACAGGAATATGAAGATGTCTGCTGGCATACTCACATATTCAACCTCTCGCGTTTAAGTTTCTAATCTGTTCTCATAACATAACCTCAGTGCTCCCAGAGACTTCATTAAGCTTTGCTTTGGCTTGTAACACAAGCAGACCTGATCGTTTTCATTTATGATCTGAGGTTAAAGCTGTAATTTCTGCACTACTATTTCTAAAATAATTGCAAAACATAACAGAATTACAAATATGATGGCTATTATCAAAAAGGGGATCTCTGTTATTGGTCAGTCAAACAGATAGTTCCGCCCTAAACTCACACCATTGGTTGAGCCAATGTTGCTTTGTCGAGCTGGTCACCAAACCAAAATAACAAAAACTCAAAAAAAATCACAAACATTTGGAATTAATTTTTAGATCTGTCCCATTAACCTAAAAACTATTTGAAGACGCTTTAGCTTTAAGAAGTGATGCCAAACTTTTGATCTCTTCATCCACAGACATAAGAACACTGATCAATATCTGTCCTTATGATTCAAGAAATGCATGCAGAAACAACGTACACAATTACCATTGTAAGGCATTTGATTTGACTTAAATAACCAGTGACAGGCTCAATAAAAGCCACACATAGACGTCACAACGGGAGAAATTCCTTCGCTGGTCAGAAACACCCACAAACACACTCAGAAAGTTTGCACAGTGTGAAACAGCACTAACGGTTACTGGATGAGGGATGATGGCTACATGACATGACAACAGTAACCGTAGCAACTATGAGTGGCCGTTTGCATCAAAAGATATGTTCGTGCCAACTTGAACGGCCCCCTACCAACCCCAGCATCTACAAAATTACAATTACGGCAAGACACTACAGGAAAAAACACTGTTTGTTTTTTATGTACTGGTCAATTTCCTTTTTTTTTTCAGGCTTTTTTTTTCAGACTAGTGGAAAGAAAACTTTCAAACTAAACATTTGAGTGTTTAATTTATTACACTTTATTGATTTGCGTCTGTAGATTTCAATTACAATACATATCTTTAAAGGCCATTTTCTCATGCATTGAGCCAGAAATCTCCACTTCAGCAAAACTTGCACCAAACTTTCCAGTTTGTTTTCCTATCTATATTCAGAGGGGTTTGTTCATATATCATTTTTACCTTTTATGGTCACACTTTAGTTTGGGGACCAATTAACTAACTATTAACTATGACTAAACTCCTAATGTGCTGCTTATTAATAGTTAGTAAGGTGGTTGTTAAGTTTAGGTACAGGGTTAGATTAAGAGATCAAGAATATGGTTATGCAGAATAAGGCATTAATATGTGCTTTATAAGTCCTAATAAACAGCCAATAAGCAACTAGTTAATAGTGAGAATAGGTCCCTAAACTAAAGTGTTACCTATTTTATTCTTAAGAAACATGGAATTTTTTTTTATTTGCATATTTTATTTCAGAAAACTTTTAATGCAAAAACTATTGTGATATCTATTTGTTACAGTTATCACCTGGTTCCTTAAGGTCTGTTTTTTTCTCACGCACTGTTTTTTTAAATTGGTGTGCCACTCTCACTTTCAAACTAATGGTGAATTTTTACAGAGTTCTTAATGGACTAATCTCTCTCTCTCTGCTTTCACGTCTCCTCTTTTCTCTCTCCTTCAAGTCCTTTTCTTCTTTCCCACTTTCTCTCTATCCAAACACGCACAGCTGTGACCGACCTGCTGTCCGTGAGAAATGTTATCTGAACGTTCTCTCCAACATAACCAATGTTATTCAAAGGTTTTCAAACAGGCCTGGCCTCTGAGGAGACAAAAGGCAGAAATACTTCAGCCGCTACTGTGGCAGCGGCCGTATGTGTGTAACCATAACTCATATTCAAACAGACACAGACATACAAACATATACGCGCTCACACACGTACAGCAGAAGCCGGGGTCACTAGGGCACCCGGCAAGATGAACAAAACAAGCTCTGGAAGGTTCTGTCACCCGCTACCAGACCATCCCCCTCCAAAAAAATAAAAAATAAATCACACACACTCCATCCAGACACATTAACGTCAAACCTGATCAGAGGGGCAGAGAGAGAGGACACACAGAGATGAGAAAGAAAGAAAGAAAGAAAGAAATGCACATTAAAGCAGCATAAAAGATAGAAGGGATGAGAGAACAGGAAAAGGAGCAAAATAAAGCTAAACGAGATGGACAGAGTGATGAAAGAGGCAGGCAGATAAAAGCTGCACATGTTAGCCACAGATGTAGACGAGCAGAGATAATCTAATGAGGAAAGAACACTGTGTGTGTGTGTGTGTGTGTGTGTGTGCCAGGGCATCAGATCAAATAATGCTATCAGAAAGTACACCTCTTTTTTTCCACATTGTTTATTTTTTCTCTCACACACCTGCTACCATCTTGTTGAAATTGAGTTGACAGACCAGAAAAATCCTCCCTAAGAATCATAAAATCCCATACGTGCCTGCAGTGCACACACACTTTTCATCGACTTCTATTGTTTTTTACACTGAGCGAATAATATTTCATATCCCTCACCCTGACCCAAACGCTCTGCATTTTTACATTTTCATTAAAACATTACTGAGGATGTTTATTAAGCCCTTTTTCCATTGGCTGGTCCCCCAGTGTAGCTCATTTCAGGTTTTATTATCCCTGAGGGGACATTTGGTCCCTACAATGTAGGCACAACTTGACCCCTTCACAAACACACACACAATCTAAAATAAAAACAAGTAAACAGTGCTTTGGTGAACACATTAATCTGTTTCTTTAAGATCTGTTTTAAAGACCAGCATTTTCCTTTAAGTCTCACAAACACACAGACACACACCTGATAGTTGAGCCTGAGGTCTGAGTGTATTTTTAGGAGACAACACACACAACCATACCATGTCTAGAACATGAAGAGTGGCTGTACGATGGCAGAAACATGAGCGATATGTGCAGCAGTGTACACACACACACACACACACACTCACACACACACACACACACACACAGACATTTCCTCAATCAACCTCCTGCAAAGTCCGTTAGAATGTTGTTTTTCCTGGTAAAGCTGTTAGCGCTCGCTATCCTTCCTCTCGCTCTCTCTGAGCAGCAGATGTTTAAGCATGTATCTCCTTTTAACTCAATTTAGTCTGTTCATGGTCTGAACCTCCCTTTCTGCTGATCTCTAGATGTCCTGCATAACTCAATTATAAACACACACACACACACACACACACATATGCACACACACTCCTGTCTGGGAGTAATGAGCGAGATTTAGAGGACAGATCTCAAGATTTTGCTGTGTTTATGCTGTAATTTTCCTCCAAATTTAATGTCACTATCTTTTGGTATTAATAACAATTTATTAAAACCGAATCTGCAAACCAAACAGAACATTAGGGAAGCAAACAGCAACATTTAAACGTATTAAAAAGTAATCCTAGATGTGAAAGATCCCAGATCCAACTGCAGCAACAGAAATACGTGAAAAAGAATATAATGTAATTAAAATAAGCAAATAGATTTGTAAAAGCTATATTAATTAATAAACTTTGGTAAAGAGACCAAAATCCCATTTTTAAAAGGCAACAAAAGGAGAACCGAGAGAGACAATGAAGAGGAGAGAAAGAAGAAAGAAAGGGGGTGAGAAAAAAAAACAGAGAGGGGAAAAAGAGGGGCTAAAAGATAAAGGACTCACAGTCTGAAGAGTTTGGTTGAGCCTAGAAACAGCAACTCCGGAAGAACCTGAAGATTATTCCTGTTGAGACGCCTGCAAACACAGACACACGCAGTGACATGAAATCACACAAAACACACAATAGTGCAGTTTATGTACATTCACAGGAGCAAAATTCAGTGACTGTGAGGTACCAGAAATAGTATGAAGTGTATCAGACCTAGGCCTGGGCGATAAAACGGTATCGATATTTATCGACGGTACACCTTCTTCGATAGCGATAGTAAAAATGCACGATAGGCATGTGCTATGAGTGACGCGCAGCAACTCCGGAAGAACCTGAAGATTATTCCTGTTGAGACGCCTGCAAACACAGACACACGCAGTGACATGAAATCACACAAAACACACAATAGTGCAGTTTATGTACATTCACAGGAGCAAAATTCAGTGACTGTGAGGTACCAGAAATAGTATGAAGTGTATCAACGTCACGAATTTGTGGAGGTTTATTCCTTTTCACTGCGTCTCGTATGTTTTTAAATGCAATCTGCGTGAAAGGCGCTTCGGCTCTTTGTATTAAGCAATGCATAAATACATGATGCTGTTTTGTTCATAATTGTTTATGCAATTTACGAAATTATAATAGATATAGTTAATTTAGAAGTAATGCACGTTTTTATAGAGTTACTTCCTTGCGTTGACAATTTAAATGCGCTGCATTATTTTGCTCATTGCGCCCTCCTGTGGCCTCGGGAGACAATTAGGCCTATACAATAAAGACCTATTTAATCTGCATATAAAGCATTAGAAATTAGATATTTGTTTAATTTTTATTGTGTTTGATTGTTAAAACAAAAAAAATGTGTTGTTTGTCTCAATAAATTGTGTTAATTATAAATACATAAAAAAAAATTCTATTGCTTTTTGTTTTAAAAAAGGTTATAAGAAATGTCAATAATTATCAATACCGAACGATATGAAACATTATATCGTTGATACACTTTTTAGCTATATCCCCCAGCCCTAATCAGACCATGTAGAAAGTCTGATTTAACATGGGTGGTTGTGTGCTCGCAAAACCGACTGGATTAAGTTATGAAACAACTGGTATAATCTACTTTAGTGACATATTATAGAAAACATCAGACAAATATGAACCCAATAAATATTGTGAATAGATTCCATATGAAACATCAGATCTAAATGTTTACAGAAATATGCACTAATTGTGTTGTGCTAGGGAAATACTTTAAACATTTAATGTTATAAAATATTTCAATTCAGGCCTGCCGGCCGCCAACTTGGGCCTTGACTCTGCGTGCGCGCGCGTGTGTGTGTGGTTGGCAGACACTGTCAGTGTGTGGGGGCATCTAGCAAACACACGCAGACAAAGAACAGCCCGGAAAAACAGATGTGGGAAAAACAAACAGAACTTCTCACACAAAGTGAACTTACAGTGCAAATACACACACACACCACACACAGAAACACATATGCACACACGTGATGAAAGGAAATGATGTATATTTGCTTTAGTTCAACGACAATTCGGCAATAAAAAGTAATTTCTCACTCTCTCTTGCTAAATTCTCTGACATTATAATAAACTGGGTAATATTCCCAACTAGTGTATGTATAATAGACATTATGCATGACAATCAGCAAATATATAATACCCTCTGTGCATATTAATGAAGAGTGGCACCACTGATGTCTGTGCATTAGATTAATGAGGCTTGAGATTAATCAATAATGTTTTTAATACCAGAATACAGATCATTCAGAGTGGCCTATTAAGCTCCCAAGGTCTGAGAACTTCTACAATAATGGAAGAATGTTAAAATAACACAAACAGCCGTTCAGTTCTTGTGCCCTGACGTCAGCATGCAAGATTTCCCGCACGTCAATCACACAAGCCCAAGTTCTAAAGTGAACTCTGCCTGCACAAAGTACGAAACCATAAAGCTCTCACTCTCCCTCTCTGTTTTTACACCCTCGCTTTCTCTGACACACTCTCGCAAACACTCGCGCACTCAAACACAGCAGCCGATGACATCATCGTTCGGCTTCTGGGGTTACATCATTCCATTTGAATATTTAATGAATGATGAAATAATAACGAGGCACACAGTGCTGCACACTCCAGAAATGCCCACGTGTTTCACTCAGACACAGAGGACAGCCTTCCCTGAGGACCCCGCTGCAGAAACACACAAAGACTCACACACACACGGTGCTTAAAGCGAATAAGATCGACCCTTAAAATAGACGAGTACACACAGACACACACTTGCAGATAGAAATGCACATAGCCAGACTCTGACACACACACAGACATGCACTCACAGTCATTTCCAAGGAGGGCCATAAAGTGAACTGACTTTTAATGCCAAAAAACAGGCAACAAGACTGAACAGAGGAAAGAATGGATTGAAAGTCAGTGTGAAGACGCACACAGCTACTGTAGCATAAAGCAGACACGATCCACAATCAATCACATACAGCGAATGAGATACGTGTATGGCTTCGTTTATAAATCAGTAGACTGTTCGCACAGTCTGCTCGCTGACAGCCTGATGCATATTGCACACAAAACTGGAAACAACTTTCTTCATTTGGCAAGCACTAATCTGATTGGCTGAATCTGTGCAACTTCTTATAGGCACACAAGCCCAGAGGGACACAAAATCAGGTACCGGCCTGATACAACGAGTGCTTTTTACAATGAAATAATTGCGGAAGTTTGTTGAGATAACGTTATCAAATGTTTGAACGATAGTCAGCGTTTAATTTATTTCAATTTATTTCTGCAAAATGGTCAGTTGTGGAGTCTATATTCCTTTTTGCAATATTTTAAGGAGTTTTCTGAACAACTGTTCATGGTTGCCATTTCATTTATTTATTTATTTTTTTGGTCACACTTTATTTTAAGTTCCAATTAAAGGGGTCATAGGATGCCCATTTTCCACAAGTTGATATGATCCTTCAGGGTCTTAACGAAAAGTCTGTAACATAGTTTAGTTAAAATTTCTCAATGGTAGTGTAAAAAACACCTTTTTTACCCTGTCAAAAACAGCTCTTTTCAGATCAAGCCGTTTTTGTAGCATTTTACTTTAAATGTTAATGAGCTCTGCTGACCCCGCCCCTCTCTTCCGAGCTGCTCTCTGAGGGACTGTTTACTTTAGCCGCATTCATCGTGAAACTTGCTAATTAGCACATTATTAGGAAAGGCGATTTGCAAAGATTCGTTACAAAACATTATACTTTCTTCTTCTGTAGATGAGGCTGGATCACGAATGATTCGCGCGAACATAGACGCATTTATGTAAATCGGGGTGCATTCCCTTCAGAAACAAAGTAATCCACTGCGAGTTCAGCGGCTCAGATGTCGGGAGTAAATGACGACTGCTGTTCATTATTACATCCAACAACAGAACACCTCAATCACTCCGGAGCCATTCTTGTCTACATCTGCTCCGGCGGTGAAACAATGGCGGACTGATGACAGTCACTCAGGGCGGAGCTAAGACACCAGTCCAGTCTGTGCTGAAACACTACTGTCAATCAAACTATCGTGGGAGGGGCCTGTCTGTGTGACATCACACAGACAGGCATGTGCGATCGGCTCGATTTGAGAAAGGGGAAACCTTTTAACGAGATTTAAAAAAAAACACTGGGTGGATTTTTATCATTATAGGGTGGTTGTGTACACACACTGCCAACACACATTTCAGTTCAAACAGCTTGTAAAAGTGCATGTAGCATCCTATGACCCCTTTAACTAATTATTAACTAGGCCTTTTCCCTCAATAAACTCCTAATTTGCTGTTTATTAATAGTTAGTAAGGTAGTTGTTAAGTTATGGAGTAGGATTAAGGGATCTAAAATATGCTCATGCAGAATAAGGCATTAATATGTGCTTAATGTGCTAGTAATATGCATGCTAAAAAGCAACTAGTTAATAATGAGAATTGGTCCCTAAAATAAAGTGTTACAGTTTTTTTCTTTCTTTTTTTTTGGAAAAACAAAATAAAACAAAAACAAAACTAAACTAAACTAAATGAGACGGAAAAACAAAATAAAATTAAAGCTGCAAGCAGCGATGAACGGGCCCTCGCACCCAGGCTCACCGCCAGCGGGCGTCTTTAGTAAGACTGCGAACGGCGAGCAATACAGTCAATCATCTAGAAGAATACTGTTTCTGCAGTCAGAATCTAGACAGTAATCATGATCATGCAATGGCCCAACATAGTGTTTAATCTCTCCTCAGGAGAGAAATAAGGTTTTGTGGGGAATTTAAGATCCGCGTGGCCTTCATTCATTGTATAATACATTACTGAACTGCACAATAAGCTTTATTAATTGTAATCCATTATTAATTTCTAATTCGCCCTAGATTCCTTTGAGAATGTCAAATGGGTTTTTAGAATTTATGAGTAAAATAAGTAAGTGTGCAGTGTAACGTGCAGTTACTGAGTAAAAAGAAAACACAATTTATGATTAAAAATGAATTTGTGTGTGTGTGTGTGTGTGTGTGCGCGCGTGTGTGCGAGCGTGTGTGTGTGTGTGTGTGTGTGTGTGTGTGTGTGTGTGTGTGTGTATTAAAGAATTGTTAGGTTCAATGTAAAAAGATGTATAGTCTATGTTCACTGTATCAAATGATTAATTTAAATGTTAGTGCATAGTACTGTAGCTAAAGACACTTAAATAATAGATTAAGTCAGATAATAGTCAGATAATTCTGTAATACAAGATACTGTTTTGAAAGCATTGTTGACTTGAAACCAAGTCGCTAACAAGTTACTACATTGAAAAAAAAAATTTTACCCAAAAACGTGCTCCATGTGGTAACAAATATATTAGTAAATTGATTTTATTCAGTTTAAAAATATTTCACTGAAGCAACTTAAATACATTAACAAAATGTACTTTCTGCAATGTACATAAGGACTTTGACTACAAGGATTTAAGTTTATATGCTGGACAAATCAGACAACCGTAGAAACTTGTTAACCACAGACCTCACTGTACTCATAAATAGAAAGCTGTTTTTTTTTCAAACCCATTAGAAATCCCTCAGGTGAGCTCATGGCTCAAAAATGCTAATTCAATTCCGTGTTTGCTCTATATTAATTTGTCATACTGGTTCATATCATATAATATGAAGGGAGATCTGCAGTACACCAAGTGCAGCACTTTAAGAAACTGACGAAACTTTTGTCTGAGTCGGTGACAAAGAGATAAAGGCCATCAGAATGAATATGGTTTGAAAATGGAGAATAGCTGGGGGGTAAG